TCCCTGCATCCCGGGGGTTCCTGGTACCACTGCCCGGCTCCCTGCATCCCGGGGGTTCCTGGTACCACTGCCCGGCTCCCTGCATCCCGGGGGTTCCCGGTGCCACTGCCCGGTCCCTGCATCCTGGGAATTGCTGGTACCACTGCCCGGTCCCGGCATCCCGGAGATTCCCGGTGCCACTGCCCGGTCCCGGCATCCCGGAGATTCCCGGTACCACTGCCCGGTCCCGGCATCCTGGGAATTGCTGGTACCACTGCCCGGCTCCCTGCATCCCGGGGGTTCCCGGTACCACTGCCCGGCTCCCTGCATCCCGGGGGTTCCCGGTACCACTGCCCGGTCCCTGCATCCCGGAGATTCCCGGTACCACTGCCCGGCTCCCTGCATCCCGGAGATTCCCGGTACCACTGCCCGGTCCCGGCATCCCGGGGGTTCCCGGTACCATTGCCCGGCTCCCTGCATCCCGGGGGTTCCCGGTACCACTGCCCGGCTCCCTGCATCCCGGGGGTTCCTGGTACCACTGCCCGGCTCCCTGCATCCCAGGGATTGCCGGTGCCAGTCCCTACACAGAAAGTAATAAACCTTCCACTTTCTTTTACTGTGGTCAATTATAAACTTCCACACACACATACACACGGTTCCTTCAGCTGCTTCCAGATCAAGCCGATTGACAGAGATACCTGTGCATCACTTGAGTTTCTCAACTTCTTAAATNGCATCCCGGGGATTGCCGGTATCACTGCCCGGTCCCTGCATCCCGGGGATTGCCGGTATCACTGCCCGGTCCCTGCATCCCGGGGATTGCCGGTACCACTGCCCGGTCCCGGCATCCCGGGGATTGCCAGTACCACTGCCCGGCTCCCTGTATCCCGGAGATTCCCAGTACAAGTGCCCGGCTCCCTGCATCCCGGGGGTTCCCGGTACCACTGTCCCGGTCCCTGCATCCCGGGGGTTGCCGGTACCACTGTCCCGGTCCTCTGCATCCCGGGGGTTCCTGGTACCACTGCCCGGTCCCTGCATCCCGGGGGTTCCTGGTACCACTGCCCGGGTCTCTGCATCCCGGGGGTTCCTGGTACCACTGCCCGGGTCTCTGCATCCCAGGGATTGCCGGTGCCAGTCCCTACACAGAAAGTAATAAACCTTCCACTTTCTTTTACTGTGGTCAATTATAAACTTCCACAGACACACACACACACACACATACACACGGTTCCTTCAGCTGCTTCCAGATCAAGCCGATTGACAGAGATACCTGTGCATCACTTGAGTTTCTCAACTTCTTAAATGCTTGAAGTAATCAAATCTGATGTCAGTGTCTTTGTCCTCTGTATGATGCAAAAGACTGAGAAAGGAACAAAAACTAAATTTTTCCATTAATACCTTCTCATATTTGTTAAAGACAGTATAAACCCTCTGACCTGCTCCTGTCTGTGCCAGCTCCAGCACAGGCCAGCCATGCTGGCAGGTACTGTGCCACAACTCATGCACTGTCACATCCTTTCAGAGCATCTTTGTCCTTGTGCCCATTCCCTGCTCCATCATCTTCAGCTCACGTTACCAGCTTTGTACTGATTTCTGGTGGGCCAGAAACTCGATTTTCAGCAAGTCTGATTGCATTGACTTCAGCTTTTTGTGGAGAACAGTATTGAAACCTCATCTGTCACAACTTCATA